GAACAAATATTGTTTTGGTCATCACATTAAAAATAACATTCAAATATAGGCCTATATTTATATATATATTTAATATTTAGATCATATTTGAGTTTTGAAGTGCTGCAAAAAGATGTGTGAAGTACTTGAAAGCATTTCACTATTCTAGCCAAACTTCCATGGTTACAGTTAGTGTTACTATATTAAATCCATGGTGAATGTTGCTGATCTGTGGACTTAAAGCCTATAACTAGATCATTCACGGCACAATGTTTCTTCTGGTTTCCACGTCAGCGCTGTTTGATCTAAAAGAGATCTACGGTTAATAACAGAGAAATTTGAATGCTTCTCACTAGATCTCGCAGCGATGTTATTACTTCAGTGGCGAATAATTTTTTTTTCTTCACTAGATCTCTTAGCGCTGTGTAGTTACAGTGTCGCTTGATCGAGATCGGCTCACGCTGCACAGATGTTGCTGGTCCGAACTGATAAACGGTCCGTTAAGCACAATATAATGAGTAGCGCAGTTTTGTTCTGCTTTCATTACGTTTGCCATTTGATGTTGCACAACGTTGAGGTGGTCGCGCCGTCGCGCCAGCGCGGATTTTGTCGGCAGGAAAAATGGTCCAAGGAATCGTCCGGTTTGTATGCATACCGAACTGGAAGCCTCGTACCGAAACGGTTCAATACGAATACATGTACCGTTACACCCCTAATATGACCCCTTTAAAAAAAGTGTCTTTTCAAAACATTTCGCGGTACAGATATGTCTATAACAAATTAAACAACTCTAGTTGAATAACCGAGTATTAATTTCGTTCGTTTGTGTTAAATTAAAGGCGAACTGTGCTGAAATGTGTTGCTTTTGAAATCATGCTTTGCTCGCTGTTGCTGCTGTCAGTTTATTGACAAGCAGTTTCTCTAAATAAAGCTAGCTAGCATTGTTATTTAGTCTCTCCCGATAGAACCCCTTTCATTTCTCTTCCTTCTCCATATCTTCCAAAGAAACTGCGGCGTATCGCTAAAATGTAAACAAATACTAAGCTGCGCTGTCTCTCTTTCACTATTTCTGGAATGTTTAGTCGCGCCTCTGTGAAGTTCTGAAGGCGTTGCCCCTGGCAACCGATAGCGTCTCCTACCATCATGGCCGACCGGCTCAGACCCCGCCCAAATCGGACCCAGCCTCAGCCTCCCCCACCCCCCATTCAGTTTTATTTATTTATTTTCCTCTCATTGTTAATGTCTGTAACCTTTCATTGAATAAAAAGACCTGAGCAGAGATTTGTTCATTGCCTGAGTATAAAATAAAATATGTATCATTCTCTGTCTGAATTTACTTGTGCAGAGACAACTGTCACACACACAGTTAAAGGGTTAGTTCACCCAAAAATGAAAATTCTGTCAGTAATTACTCACCCTCATGCTGTTCCAACCCCGTAAGACTTTCGTTCATCTTCGAGAAAGTATTCTCGTCGATTGATAAATTTAAGATTGAGCCACTGTAGTCACTCGGACTATTTTAACGATGTCTTTCATAACTTTTGGGCCGGCCAGTTTCAATCCCTTAAGAAGCCTATGGAGGAGTGATCCAGCTCTCAGATTTAATCAAAAATATCTTCATTTGTGTTCCGAAGATGAACGAAAGTCTTACGGGGTTGGAACAACATGAGGGCGAGTAATTACTGACAGAATTTTCATTTTTGGGTGAACTAACCCTTTAATTATTTATCATATATTACACTGTGTTGAGTGCAGTAGTGCTTATGCTGGAGGGAGTGTAATAAAGTAAACTGCAACAGAATAGTCTAGGGAGGGAAAAGTTAATAATTGTTTCTGTGGGTTTTGTGCAGTGAACTGTTACTATAGTTTAGTCCAGTGTTGTGCTTATGGGACTGGGGATATAGAGGAGCAAACTGCAACACTGCAGTTTGGGGTGGGTGAAGGAAGGATTACAATAGATTTTTATTGAGAAACAAAAAATGTTTCAAGTGTGTTGGAGTTTAGACGATTCCTCTTTTTGGACAAAACCTCTCCAGCCTTGGAAAAGATCCTTTCACAAGGAACAGAGGATGCAGGGGAACATAAAAATGCCAGTGCCAGTTGGTATAAATGAGGATACTGATGCTTCGGTTGAGCCCAGACGGGGGAGGATCTCCTCTTTCTTGCTGGCTCCATTACCAGGAAAAAGGAAGAGTCGCAAAAAGCAAACAAATCCAAAAGGGCAATCCAAAACAAAAAGCAGTCCAGTCCAGATCCAAAAATCCAAAGCAATGTTTCTGATGAAATAGAACGGTTAAGATTGAAATTTGGACACATGCTGCTGGCCCGAGAATGTTCGGTTTCTGTGGTAGCACCCCCCCCCAAACCCCCCCCCCCCCCCCCCCCCCCCCCAACCTCCCCGCCCCGGAAAAATTTAAATCTTAACCGTTCTATTTCTTAAGAAACGATCTTAAAACAGGGCTTTAAATGTGTAAAATACCGAACTTGTCCTTTAATTTCTTTTACCTGCTGGAATTCAACTGTACAAACTGAGAAAGCTTCAACTCTCACTCCTAACTTTTTTTTTTTAGTTTTTGAAATGTTATCCTGCTTGTCCCACCCTTAAAGTTCCACCCTGTTAGGCTATGTTATGGAGAATGTTTGTCCTATCAAAAAAAATTAAAAACAAATCTGACATAGTTATAAAAGTTCTGTTCATCTGTAGAAGGCTAGCTAGCTAAATGTTGATCACTCAAAGAGCTATGGCTAACTTAGCTCAGAATTTGCCACCCTGTTAGATTCCACCCTGTTAGGTCTATAAACCAATATGTATTCCTTATAGTTAAACATGTCACTATTTTGGTAAAATGCTAAAAACATGAAAATCATGTCCTTTTTTTCCCAACACTTATGAAGCCAAAATGTCACCCAGGAATGACCCACACCCATTTTTTCTCGACACAAGCTCCAACGCCTCGGTTCAAATGTCACATCACATCACTACCTGGAGTCTTGTCGTCATCTACCTTCACCACACCCGTGACAGCACCATTACAGATTCTGGGAGTGTGCTGTGCAGTTTCGCGTGTTTTGCATCCTTTCAATCAGAATGAAACTGCCTCGTGGCGCTCATGCAGGCTGTGTGAATGCACTGCAGAGCATCAGCCTTGCACTTTCACGTTGTACTGCAGAATTTGCAGAAAGAGGCAGTGTATACGAGTGAGTTTAAAATTGTTATTTTCAGTTCAAAACCTCAAAAAACCATACAGCTATACAGATGTTATTGCCAGACCAGTCTAAAATCTTGGCATGTTTGCATTTCATTTTTCAATTGTCTAGATGTTGCCAAAAATAATATTTTGCAGCATGCTTTGTTCAAAGAAATGTATACCGTATCTTGAAGTGAAACAGATATTTATTATATTATGCCTGTCACAGTTGGGTTCACTAGTTCACTCTAGGTGTAGGTGCCAAAAGTTGGGTCAGAACTCTAGGTGTCAGTGCCCAGGGGCACCAAAGAGTCTTAATCCGCCACTGTCTGGATTGTATAAAGCGCGCCGCTTTAACAATAAAGGTGACTTACACTCTGCAGGACATTGGCCGTCAAGGAGTGGAGTTTGACACGTGCTTTAGGCTGTCGCAGATTTGATGAATAGCCTTCCAAAAGCAATTAATGTCAATTCATATTTTTCAGGCGTGGAGCCCTCTGGGGCCAGTGGCATAAACGTAGTCACTATGTTAAGAACGTGTCTTAAGAACTAGTTTGACCAACTAGCAGTTAGACAAGAGATTATCTTACTCACAGCTCCCTGTTCATAACCAATGATCTCATTCACAGGTGTCTTCCTCCCTTTCTTTTTTGGCTCATCTTAAAACTCTCACCATAATTATTTCAATAACTTCTTGGCGTTGCTATCTTCTTCTCACTATCAGATTATTACTTCACTTTATATGATTTACTTCAAACAGTTTTCTAAAATTGATAAAGAATACATATTAAAAGGAATACATTGCCTACAGGATGTAGGCATAATACCCCTGGTACAATCGAGAGGCTGGTGCTTGTTAATGATAATAACTAAACACTGAACTCACATGGACTTAACAGTGTCTTATTTCTGCTCATATTGCCCAAATCATACCACCAAAATATACTGCATTTCTAATTAAAAATATATATACAGGCCTGTCAATTTTCAATCTCAGCAGAAGAAAAACAAAAATGTGAACAAAATGCAAGTTTTGTTTCTAAAAAAATGCTTAATGTGAAATGTGTTTATGTAAATAAAAGCCTAAATTAAATCTGTTAATATAAAGTGAAAATTCTGACTAAACCTCTCAATTCATATGGATTAGTTTTATAATTTCTTGATTAACTTTTTGAAGCAACAAAATGTTGTTTCATAGGCTTTCAATGGAGGGACAGAAAGCTCTCAGATCTCATCAAAAAGATCTTCATTTGTGTTCCGAAGATGAACGAAAGTCTTAGGCTACAGGTTTGGAACAACTTGAAGGTGAGTAAATGATGACAGAATTTTCATGTTTGGGTGAACTACCCCTTTAAATGGTAGTATGCACGCGCACACACACACAAGCATTTTGACTGGGAGACATTTTGTTATTAAACAGCAAGCATTTATTGATTTCATTTTAATAACTGAGATCTGTCATGCTTTAGACATTTAAAACATAAATCCTCTTAAATACTACAGAATCATCTAATGTTGAATATAATTACAAATACCATAAGTTTCATATAAAACATTAGCAGTCTATTTTGCATTTAAAACAAAATTATATCCTAACTATAAGCCTCATGTTATTGTGACAGATAGCAAATTGTGCGTTTAAAAATACAATGGGTAGAATTACGAACAGTCAAGTATCATCAAGATAAGATGATACAAGTGACAAACTTAAAATATTACAGAAAACATCAACCTTTATCAAACATGATCAATAAAGCTGACAGATAATGTACAAGAGAAATCAATTAAACAAGCTCATATTGGTGTGCAAAAAAACACAAATGTATGTTTTACAGCCAACACAAACGTGACAAGAGAAGAACTGTGATGATAGATATAGTGGATGTGGCCGCAGAAGAAGGTGCTGTGGAGCGCTGTGATGTCACAACTCTGCCATTCAAGGGCTGAACTCCTCTGAAGTTGTTGGTCGTCAGAACTGGAGGGCTTGCTTTGAAAAAGGTAGTTGTGCTGAAGCGGTTGATCTGTTTGGAGGAATAAATTCAACTGAGTGACTTTTAGGTTTTAACTCAGAATATGAAGAATGTTGCCATCCAATAATAGACGACTACGATTTTTTTATGAATTACTCTACTATAGAGTTGCCTTGACATACCAAGTCCTGACTGACTTTGATGGGATCCTTGAACACAGTCCAAATCACAACTTCATTGCAGTTGGGTGTGGTAAGAGAGCCTTGGTACCGGTAATATTCAGTCATGTTCACCCCTTCAAGCAGACTGTCCATTGTGATTTGATTCATGATGTCTACTGTTGTATCACCTAAATACACAAAAACGTCAAGAGGGTGTAAGGAAACTACTTGGCCGTCTTCAGTTTTGTGCTAATTTGTTGTTAAATCAAATCGGTTAAGAGAAATTAACACAATATACCAAGTTTTTTTAATGGTATGAATTGCAAGACTCTTCATACTAATAAAAAGATTCTGTTACGTGCTTGATATTAGAGGTATAATTGCATAACATTTAATTGAGACGTGCAATAAACAGAAACAACCGATAAAATAGAATAACGTACAGGTCAATTTATCAGAAATAACGCAGTGTGAACAAATTGAAGAGGAGATAAAAAAATTTTTTAAAACGATTTCTGTAACTGATAACCCAAAACCCCCAAACCGAACTAGAAATTGTAGAAACAAAACCGAAATCTTCAGTGTATTCGACGCTTTACATTAACTACGCTAACTAAAACCAAAAATACAAAAAGTGGTGATCACTCTTAACTAACAATGAAGATATAACTGTAGACTGTTCGAAGTTCAAGATCACATGGCAAACATCGCTTTCACAGAATTGAGTGAAGTCTGACGCTGATCTGGTTCACTACGCAAAAAAGAAAAATCGGTCAACATTGTTGTTCCAAAACCTTTATGACTTTCTTTTTTTTCTGTGGAAAACAAAAGTAGGTATTTCTCTATGATTTGTGCCTGAATGTCATTGTTGTTTTGTACCCCAATGACACTCAATGTATGGACAAAAACAGTTGAAACATTCTTCAAAAATATCTTACATTGCGTTTCAATGGGGAACGACATGAAGGTGAGGAGTGACAATTTTCATTTCTGGGTAAACTATCAACAACCAACTATTTCTTTACCTGAAGAAGGGATCTGTTTCAAAAAGGATGTTAGGATATCCCAACTTTTTGTTTTGTTTTGTTCATTGGTTCCCTGTTGGTTAAATAAAAATACATACACATGAGCATACAACTAAACCATGAATATACTTTAAGGTTTGCGCTTCCCTCTGGATATAATAAATGTCGTCTTGCTCACCTCAATAAAGAAACCAAGAACAGCCAATCCTGTGCTGTCTTTAGCAGCCAGAGCAGCTGCCAAACTCCCGTTGTATTTTGAATGGACATTCACAATGTGCAGCTGAGAAACAGAATCAGACGTATAAAGATAATGCATTTGGGATAATGCTATGTGGAATAATGCAATGAATTTGCAGGGAAAATTAATGAATTCATACCTCCATTGGGTATTGTTTGCCATCCACAGTGTGTTCGGAGCCAGGCGAGGAGCTGCCGTTACCCCAGTGGAGATGGAATTGTTTAGTGTTGTACAGACCTGGAAGATCACCTCCTTGCACTGTCATTTTATCATCATCCAGGTTGACCACCACTGTGAAGACAATGGACATATTAGAAACAAGGTCCAGGACATGGAATACAGTGACGTTGTGCATCACTGATGCTTCATCTGCTCCCAATCTACCTTATTTTTCAGTTAAGAACAGACGCGGGCATTTGTAATTTGAATGTGTCCAAGGCTTCCGGTATCATTCGCTTCTGGCTATTTTTAGCTGTACAAAACGTTATGCTGCTTGATATCGCAAAAAAACAACAAAAATAACGACTTCATTCCTTCATTCATTTCCTTCTCTGTGGGCCTCTGAGTTAGTTCACGTAGTGTTACAGCGCAGCGCTTCCGTGTTGCACGTCACACGCATCACACACATGACCAGCGTCGGCCAATGGTGAGCCTACATTCTGATGTACACCACACAAGCGCTGTTCCGAAGATGAACGAAGTCTTACGGGGTTGGAACAACATGATGGGGAGTAATTACTGACAGAATTTTCATTTTTGGGTGAACTAACCCTTTAACTTTAGTTAGTGTGTAATGTTGCTGTTTGAGCATTTAAAACATCTGCAAAGTTAGACGCTCTAAGTTCAAGGCTATCACCAGTTAACCGATCACAGCACATTTCGTGTTTTGGAAGGAGGGGGCTTCATCGAAATCAACGCGTTCAACCAGGGGAGAGAGGAGCTGTAATAATTTAAAATATGTGAAAAATAATGGGGGGTTTTTAACAATCAAGCATGAAAACATATTCTAGTAGCCTACACCCTAAAAACAAAATCAAGACTTCGTAAAAAGGCATAAAAGGACCCCTTTAAGTTGCCTCTATGTAGTCAGTGAGTCTCATGGTATGAACAAAAAGAGGAATCAAATAACTTTATCCTTCTGTTGTCTAACAGTTTATCACCTAGATCTCAGTTTTGTAAACTTTTCTGGAGCTTTTTAATGTGAAACTTATCATGTTACCGTCTCTTAAGGATTGATCGCTTTTGTTAGGTACAGTAGCTTATATTCCTCATTCGGAAGCCCATTTGAATAAATCTGCTAAATAAATGTAGCAACTATATTTTGTAAAGACGAACAAATCCTATAATAATACTTTTTTTCTTTTTTTTTAAATCAAGGTTCCCAGTGCTCCGTGCTCCTTACCAGAGTCGCCTGAGTTAGCGATTGACATGAAGGTGGAGTTGTCATCAAAACCAGTGAAGTTGAATGAGGTCAGGTTAGCATTTCCCTTAACAATTCTAGTTTTGATATCAATGGGAGATTGCCTGGATCCACTGCAGGATTGTGGAGCAATTTGGGGCCAGGTGGCAAAATCTATTACAAATTAGGGATAACAAAAATCTACTTCAGAACAAGTTTTAAATATATAACATTTTATAATAAGATTTATATTAACTTTTATACAGTGGAATATTTTATAATATAATAAATCACACTTACTGCATGTTGGCTTGTGATAGCACCATGCTGTTTAGGTTTAAAGGAAAGCATTAATAAATATAACCAATGAAACAGCAGAATTTCCATCAAAAAAAGTTTCAAGCGCCTTTAATACCTTTAATTTTAATAGGAGTAGCCTAGTCCTTTAAGGAGTAAATGAAGTTGAACTCGAGTTACTCACCCACTGCAGAGTCCGCGCTGTGGACGGAGGGACACAGAAGAGCAGCAAGGAGAGTTACCAGCAAGACAGCCATCTAAATCAAACAAGAAATCATTACAATGGAAATCAATACAGAATTTAACCTTAAGTTAATTGAATTTGATATGAGAAACGAAATAAATCAAGAATAGGTAGTTAGTCTTACATCTTCTACTTGATTCTGTAGGCATGCTGAAAATGAATGGCTTCTTCCCCTCCTTTAATACTCTTTTCAGCTCACCTGCTGTGGGTGTGTCACTTTCATGGGTTTCATCCACTCGGCGACATTCCGATTAAACGCATGTGATCCCATTATCACTTATCTTTTACTTTTGAACAGCAGTCAATAGGCCACTTGATTTATCTGGTCGCGTTCCTTTCTTTCAGCATCACTTCGGTCACGTTCTCCAACCCTCTCGTGATGAAGGGAGAAGCACGGTTATGCAATCTCGGGAATGATCAGATGAATGATATCAGTTGATTTATATAGCATAGCTACTTGTCTGTTTAAACGTTTTTTTTACTTAATCTCTTTAATGTTCAGCTTTTGATGCTTCTCATTTTTAACACATTGGTCATTAGTTTTTGCCCATATCAAAGCAGTCAATATCCAACTCGGTAGATCTTATGAGAAAACGTCATTTTACGATGCGATTTCGAATTTGTGCAACGGTTTGTGCAAAATATCGGTAGCTAAAAAAAATAACTAAACATTTGCAATTCCTATGTTCCTTGCAAAAATCTGAATATGATGATAATATAATATAAATATCATCATATTTATTTGTTCTGATAAAATATCATCAAAATAAACAAATAGCCTACTTTTGAATGGATGGCAATGGTGAAAGATGCTTCCAGAACTGGTGGGAGTCATGACATCCGGGGTTAATGGGACCATGCAAACCAGAAAAACGTTAAGAGGTAACAATAAAATAAAAGTCAGGTAAGAGAGAAGGCAGTGCCAGTGCAGGAGATCTTACAAAGATCTTATGTAAGACTTTTAGAACAAAATGAATGCAAATCCGTAAGTGGTGCGTAAGCAGATCGTACGAAAACGTATGAATGAGATCATACGAATTCATATAGGCTTAATCCAATTCGCCAAAACGTAGGGATACAATGTCTAATTGTACAACAATGATCACTTTTGACTTTTGTATGAGCTGTATGAGATGCCTGAGATACAAAGGTGCTCTAACGAGTATATGCGCTTTCATTTCTCAAGAAAGCAACCACATTGTCATTACTGTGATCACAATCATTCAGCAGCAAGTACAGCTGCTCATTTTAAGGATAGGCACAACATTCCATAATGCAAATGCACCTCTGACAAATCCGATGGGTGTCATCATTTCATTTAAATTCATGACTGAGGCTGGGATGGTCCATGAAACTGAACTCCTAAAAAAAAAAAAAAATAAAGCCAAAAATGTAGGCTCACCCAAGTCACCAGCCTCTGCATGTCATTATTGTCATTATAACACCAGCCAGTCAGTCAAAGCTGTGTATTCTGATGAGTTTTTTTTTTGTATCAGTTAGCTAAGGTAAAAAAGAAAAGAAAAAAAAAAGTATTCATTATCCAAATCTGAATACATTTCTCTTATTTTGCCAGTTTTAGTCATGCAGATATACAGAACAGAAAATGGCAGGATGAAAAGGGGGACAGAAAATATTCTTACCTTCATTGTCACAAGCTTAACACATGATTTTAGCTATGCCGCTCTGAGTCACCGTATCTAACAGTTTGATCTGTTTGAGTCTCTTGACTTATCGACTACAGGTTCTTATGAAATGCATGACTGACTATTTCAAATCTTACATACGATCTCTGTTACCTATCTTGCACGGCACTGCCGCCTCTTACCTGATTTTGTTACCTAAAGTTTTTCTGCTTAGCATGGTCCCATTAACTCCTGCTGATATACGTCGTAACTCCCACCATTTAGTCCTGAAAGCATCTTTCACAACCATTAAAAAGTACGATAACACTTTAGTTTAGGGTCCAATTCCAGTGTTGTGTGTAACGCGTTACAAAGTAACGCGTTACAGTAACGTAACTACTTTTTCGGGTAAAAAGTAGTGTAACGCGCTACTACTGAAAATTTGGTAACGAAACGTAGTTCCTTTTTCAATTCGGCGCAACGTTACTTTCGATCTCCGTCATTTGATAGATTTGACCGCGATCGCCATCTCCGTAGTGAACCCCCCAGAGAGAAATGCACATAATGGATTACATAATCAGAGAGTAGCCTATTTCTTTTCGTTTTGAATTGTTTCGTTTAAAGACATTTCAAGCTTAAATTCTATACGTTGAGTTTCGGTTAATTTATGATGAGATGCTCCAGTTCACGTGCAATGCAAGTGACCACGCCGGCGCTTCCATGATTATATTGTCTCCTATATTTGCTTCTTACTTGCAGGCATTTGGTTGATAATAAATTGATTCAAATTAAGATACAATTTATACAAAACGAAATTCGCTTTAAAGAAAGGCTTTCTTCAAAACAAAACTTAATGAAGTGGTCAAAATCATGTCTGATTGACTCAATGTCTCCCGATATATTGCGCATCCATCTTACTCGCGCTGTTCACTTTTCATAATCAGCATAGATGGAAAAAAATGACATTATACTATTTTAACAAATATGAAACTAAATGCGCTTATTTAATGGCTACAACACGTAGGCTAGTAGGCCTACAGACTCTCTATTTGTATATATTGCTGCACATTCATTTAATTCTGAATTTTGCACACATAAGTTGAAAGGCATTTGTTTACGTGCATAGTAAAACATATCTGCAACATTTATCAAGTTCACGGATAATTGTGCGTGCATTTATTAATCATTATGATACTAAAATCATAATAAAGTCTATACTATGTATGTACAAAAAAATCAGATGAGCCCAGAATATGAACGCAACGTGTTTACTCACACGTTAAGCATTTTCCTCCCATAGAAAACCATTATAAGAACGCTTAATTTGGCTTAATGCAGATTAGAATGTCCCCTTATTATGTCTAAATAACAAGATAAGTTTTCTTTTTTTTCTTCTTCACCATACGGTTCAGGACTTCCATAGAATACAGCCTGAATATAATTACTTCCAGAAATGATTTTTGGGGGTGCTAACGTGGTGCTTTGGTCTTTCTTGGGGGCTTTCTTTCTAGCCCCTCCCTAGCGCCGCCCATGCATATGCCTATCCATTAACCGGCATTTCTTCATAAATATTAAAATTTTTGATAAATCCATTATGCATTTATGGCATTATATATGGCATTATGCATAGTAGAACTTTATGTAGGCCTATACATTTAGGAACAGATATTGGGTTCTGCCCAAAGTCAAGCAACATAAAAGTAACGTAAAAGTAACGAGTAACGTAAAAAGTTACTTTCTATATGGGGTAACTAAGTAAAGTAACGGATTACTTTTTTAAAGAAGTAACGAGTAACGGGTTACACTACTTTTTAAAAGTAACTTCCCCAACACTGTCCAATTCTCACTATTAACTAGTTGCTTAATAGCATGCATATTACTAGGATATTGGCTGTTTATTAGTACTTATAAAGCACATATTAATGCCTTATTCTGCATGATCATATTCTACATCCCTTAATCCTACGAATACCTAAACTTAACAACTACCTTACTAACTATTAATAAGCAGTAATTAAGAGTTTTTTGAGGCAGAAGTCTAGTTAATAGTTAGTGAGAATTGGACCCTATCTAAAGTGTGACCGAAAGTATTTGTGTTTTCTGATGAAATACTTATTTTGTTGTTGCAAGAAACCAATATCAATTGCAGATATTTAATAATTTTATAAAGATTTTTTAAAATGTAAAATGGACCTGTATTTATTGTCTGCTCCCTTTTATGTCACAGCTCAAGATAGGCTCTAATAAAGGGTTTGGGACTGTTCACATTCTTGTGAAGCTATCCAATCAGTGAAGTGATTTGCTAAAAAAAAAAAAAGGCAACCAGTGAAGTGATCTTCTAAAAAAAAAAAACACTGAGCAACTGCTACAAGATGAAAATGTGTGATAAATGACCTCACATTCACATCAAGCTCAAAGGAGACAAAAGTGAGGCTTTCTTCTGAAACTTTATCCACCTGTGTTGAACACTTGATGAGCGCTTTACACGCTATGTGATCTTATATCTTGTAATATTGTTTTTTTTTGTCAGTTTTTTTTTCTCATCCTAAATGTATTTTCTCACTCCCAAGGAGTCAAATACTGCCACTTGTTCAGGAGGCCTATGCACCACTATACAGATGCTGAACGCACTGTTTGGCAGCAGCTATTTGCACAAAGTGAAGAAAAGGAATTTATTTACACTAAGTGCAAATAGCATTAAAGAGATGCACTAGGTATAATGTAAATATTTGTAGATGACATTTGTAGATGGCATTCCACGGAATGGGTGTCATTTCTGTCCCCAGGACATTATGTCAAATATGCATGAAAATTAACTCTAAAATATTTTTATATATTTACATATTCCTAATGCAATATATATATATATACATTCACTGCGCCATTGACTTTAATACAGGTTTCAGTTGGTCAATGGCGCAGTCTATTTCAGTTTTATCAAAATAGCAATGCACCTGAACACACATTGTTTTCAGACCAGCAGCTCATGGGTGCAAATGCATTTGCTATTTAAAGGGTTAGTTCGCCCATTTAAGACATGAAGTTGTATGCAATCCTTACCAGCACTATGGTGCATACACACTGACCCACTCTGTTGTCACCTCCCTGGTCAGAGTTCTGGCCGCTGGAAGTTTTTCAATAAAGTACTCCCGGTTATTTTCTGGGGCCACAAAACTGTGCGTTTTTACGTGAAAAAATGATTTGCGTTTCAAAGCTTGATTAATTTACCACACAAAAAACACGCCGGTCAAAATTCATACCTCAGTTTTAATCGGCACTATTTTCTATCCATTTCTATCAATCCGCGCTGCTGTCAACGTCAACAGTGCGCCCGTTCCGATCAGCTGTTCCATGTTTACACAATCGATTGACAATGACGTAAAAAGTATTAAATTAACAATGGTGCGAACTTGTAAATTACCAGGCTGTGACCAAGGATGTGCCGGGATCAAAGTTCAGATTCTATCGTTTTCCTGTTTCGAATATAACTATGAGACAGCTTCGGCTGGTTGCCATCGGCTACTCTGCGGGAGCTAAAATATCCAGAATAAAGGATTTTCGTGTGTGTAGTGCTCACTTCAGCGAAGACGATTACATCCCCAACCAAGGAGGAAAAGGAAAATTAAAGAGTGTTGCTGTACCATACCACGGGTAAGCTCTATTT